CCCTATAATAAGAAAATGTTTCTGAAATATTAAATAGTTGATGTAAAGCTAAATGTGCAGTAGGATAATAAACTCCATAAAGTAATTCAGTAGCATTGTAAAAAACTTCTAGAAATTTAAAAAAAAATACTCAGCAATCTGCCAATCAGGATCGAAAATTAAAATTTGGTCGTTCTTATTATTTACGTATGTCGTGATAAGCTGTGAATACGGGTGTGCTGCCTTCAACATTAAATATGTTGAATTCCACCTATGTCCCACATCAGTTGGAAACTTTCTTAGGCACATATGACTGTTCTTGCAATATTGTCTGAATTCTTGGAGCCGAGCTCCATAACTAGATATGAACAATAATGATTCTCTAATATTTGTAAGATTAGCAGAGATATGTTCAATTCCTGCCTGAACTACTAAATTAATTATGTGACATGCACACCGTTGATGAAAAATTTCCCCTCCAAATGCCGGTTTCAAACTATGTTTAAACAGATTAATTACAGTTGTATTAGCTGACGCATTATCAAAAGTAATTGTTAAAACTTTATCTTATATCTCATAAAACTTAAAAATTTCCATTATTGTACTAAAAATAGATGATGTGTTATGAGGATATGGACATAAACAAAAACTAATTATTCTTTTTTGTAAAACCCAATCGTCATCAACGTAGTGCGCTGTGACACATAAATATCCAGTTTTATTGCACCCCTCCCACAAATCAGAAGTGCAAGAGATAGTAGCATTAAAAGTCCTAAAATTATCAATAAGAGATTGTCTCATTACATAAAAAACTTTCATGCAATCAGAAGGAGTTATGTTTCTACTTACCCGTTTAAATTGTGGGCAAAAGGCTGTCTGGATGAATTCTTCGAACGAGGCATCATCTGCAAAAGAAAGAGGCAATTCGGCACTAGCTAGAAATTTAGCTAGTGCCTCACGAGCACGTTGTGCATCGTATGTAAAATTTTGTAACTCATGTGATGTGAGTGATAGTGTTTGTTGGCGGGAGTCCACACTCCCACCTTGGTACAATGGTAGACATACTTTCCAATGTCTATCCAGATGACCAGTACCCCCACCCTTTTTATTAGAGAAATGCTTTTTACAATATTTACATACCGCACGAATTTCTATCTCACCTGTTTTTAGATTTGGTTGGAACTCATCGGTGAAATGTTGCCATACCGGAAAAGTTCGCGGTCTTTTTCCTCTGCTGCGTTCTCCAGCTTCCTCGTTGTGTACTGAAGCATTATCCACCAGAGCATTTTCTAGTTCAGTGGGGGAGGGGTTGGAATTAAGGGGTATTTATAAGAGATTTTAGGGTGAAATTTCGGATTCTAACCGTTGGGCCCACGAAGGGCCCCCTGAACCAATTGAAATGGGTCGTTTTGCGGGTTTGGACCGGGCCGAACAAGGGCTGAATCAGGGCTTGGGCCGGGCCAAACAAAGGTCGTGTCGCGGGCCTCCACGTGCTTGAACCGCGGGGTGAGAAGCTGATGCCCAACCCTAGCCCATTACACGTGCCGGCCCGACACGGCCCGTAACAGTAACGAACCGAGTCGTGCCGAATCCGACACTATTACGAGTTTGGCCAGACCGTCCATAGACAGCCCGACTGACCAATAACTTTTAAATTTATTTTCCATTAACTTAACTATATTTTCAAACAGTTCTGTATCCCTATAATAAAAAAAATGTTTTTGAAATATTAAATAGTTGATGTAAAGCTAAATGTGCAGTAGGATAATAAACTCCATAAAGTAATTCAGTAGCATTGTAAAAAACTTCTAGAAATTTTAAAAAAAATACTCAGCAATCTGCCAATCAGGATCGAAAATTAAAATTTAGTCGTTCTTATTATTTACGTATGTCGTGATAAGCTGTGAATACGGGTGTGCTGCCTTCAACATTAAATATGTTGAATTCCACCTATGTCTCACATCAGTTGGAAACTTTCTTAGGCACATATGACTGTTCTTGCAATATTGTCTGAATTCTTGGAGCCGAGCTCCATAACTAGATATGAATGATAATGATTCCCTAATATTTTGTAAGATTAGCTGAGATATGTTCAATTCATGCCTGAACTACTAAATTAATTATGTGACATGCACATCGTTGATGAAAAATTTCCCCTCCAAATGCTGGTTTCAAATTACGTTTAAACAGATTAATTGCAGCTGTATTAGCTGACACATTATTAAAAGTAATTGTTAAAACTTTATCTTATATCCCATAAAACTTAAAAATTTCCATTATTGTACTAAAAATAGATAATGCGTTATGAGGATATGGACATAAACAAAAACTAATTATTTTTTTTTGTAAAACCCAATCGTCATCAACGTAGTGCGCTGTGACACATAAATATCCAGTTTTATTGCACCCCTCCCACAAATCAGAAGTGCAAGAGATAATAGCATTAAAAGTCCTAAAATTATCAATAAGAGATTGTCTCATTACATAAAAAACTTTCATGCAATCAGAAGGAGTTATGTTTCTATTTACCCGTTTAAATTATGGACAAAAGGCTGTCTGCATGAATTCTTCGAACGAGGCATCATCTGCAAAAGAAAGAGGCAATTCGGCACTAGCTAGAAATTTAGCTAGTGCCTCACGAGCACGTTGTGCATCGTATGTAAAATTTTGTAACTCATGTGATGTGAGTGATAGTGTTTGTTGGCGGGAGTCCACACTCCCACCTTGGTACAATGGTAGACATACTTTCCAATGTCTATCCAGATGAACAGTACCCCCACCCTTTTTATTAGAGAAGTGATTTTTACAATATTTACATACCGCACGAATTTCTATCTCACCTGTTTTTAGATTTGGTTGGAACTCATCGGTGAAATGTTGCCATACCGGAAAAGTTCGCGGTCTTTTTCCTCTGCTGCGTTCTCCAGCTTCCTCGTTGTGTACTGAAGCATTATCCACCAGAGCATTTTCTAGTTCAGTGGGGGAGGGGTTGGAATTAAGGGGTATTTATAGGAGATTTTGGGGTGAAATTTCGGATTCTAACCGTTGGGCCCACGAAGGGCCCCCTGGACCAATTGAAATGGGCCGTTTCGCGGGTTTAGGCCGGGCCGAACAAGGGCTGAATCAGGACTTGGGCCGGGCCAAACAAGGGTCGTGTCGCGGGCCTCCACGTGCTTGAACCGCGGGGTGAGAAGCTGAGGCCCAACCCTAGCCTATTACACGTGCCGGCCCGGCACGGCCCGTAACAGTAACGAACCAAGTCGTGCCGAATCCGACACTATTATGAGTTTGGCCAGGCCGTCTATAGACAGCCCGGCCCATTAGACACCTCTAGTTTCCACTGGTCCATAGGATAAGGAAGAATCAAATAACCAATCAGAATTCAGAACTTTCCAGAATTTCCAAAAACAACAAAAAAAAAGGAAAAAGAAAAAGAAGGTGAAGTACATGACGTACCCACGCACCAAACAGCAAGAAGTTGACTCCTCCACCCCATCCCACCGCCGAATCTCCGTCACCAACCCTACTCGTCCGTCAATCCTCAATCAATCAATTTCAACCGTCGATTTCGATTCCTTTACTCCTTTAGGCATTTAACCATTGGCTTTTTTTATATCTCACAAGTCACAACCAACGGTTCCCTCCCACACCGGAATCCAAAAGTTTGATCAAATCCAGCTTATTCCTCACAAACTCCCACTCACTTCCCCGAGCGTGCAGTACAGCCTCGAAACTCGCTCTCCAAAAACGCCACCTCACAATCGAAGGGCAGTTTCGTAACTTCACCTACACGCCTCGTGGGGTCTGAAATTACCATTATGGGCCTCCATTGGCGAGTCCGTGCGTTTGGATAAACCGAGGCCCAGAAAAAGGCAAAAACGACCTCTCTCTTTGTGCATGTGTATATATAGGTGAAAACAGCGTGAATCTGACGCTTGAGAGCCATTGCTGTTTGGTGAGCAGAGATTCTTTGGGCGAAGAGTCTCTGTAAGGCGGGTTAGGAGAAAAGTAAATAGTGAGGAGAGAGATTTCTTTTGGCGGTGAACATGTCGGCTACCGGCGGAGGAGGCGGCGGTCAGGAGGAGGACAAGAAGCCCGTGGACCAGTCCGCTCACATCAATCTCAAAGTCAAGGGCCAGGTTTCTATTGAAAATTTTGATTAGCATTTTGCATATTAGAATTTATTCTAGGTTTCTTTTTTTTTTTTTTTTTTTTTTTTTTTTTTTTTTGGTCTTTAGGTTTAGCCTTGTTGTGTTTGGTTTCTGGTTTTGATTGCTTTGTTTTTAGTTTAGCATTTTGAAATTTTTCATTTGGGATCGAAATACCTGTTTGGCTGCTTAGAAACCGTGGGAAATTGGTGTGGGAGGCGGTAAGGGAACTTGAAAGATATTTCATTTTTTTAAAGGCGTTCTAATTGATTTTTCGTGATACTTTCGTTGTCATTCGTTTGTTTAACATGGATGTTTGATCGCGGTTACCGTCAATTCCTTTAGGCTCTGTTTGGTGGAGGCAAAGAAATAGATGTTTGATATGGATTACTTCCTCAAAATTTTCAACTTAGAAGGCTGAAATGTTCAAAATTGGAGTTGCGGACGATTTTGAATCTCTCGCCCGATTTATTCTCTTCTTTGATTGTCCTACCAAACAACCACAAGTCTTGAAGTCTATACACTAATGCTCCCATTATCATACACATCCCTCCGACCAAACAAGGTCTTAGTGTCAGATTTAGTAGATCGATTCTTAGCGTGGAAGAGTACGAGTGATAATGCCAAAAATTGTAATTTTTGAAGCTTTATTTCTATGACTAGTAACAATAGAACTTCGATTGTGCGGCTGAAATTGTTCTTACCGAATGGGTTCATATTGGGTTTTCTTTTCCATGAGTGAAATTCACGTTCCAGGTCTGAATTTTGGAGTAATTTGTAAAGTAGATGATATAACATTGGTAGGTTAAGGGTTTTGTTTTTTTTATTTTTTTTATTTTTAAAGCCTATGTGAATAAACTTGGACTTGAGTGAAAAAGTTCATTTGAGAGTATGGTTGTCATTGACTTGGTGAGAATGATTAGGATATATGTAAAGTTCAAGTTCGCTACAAAGAACTAATAAGTTTGTGATTCTTTGAGTCGTTTTGTGTTTCTTAACAACTAATCATGTGGTTTATTCACTTCGCTCTTGTACAATCCGTGAACCAGCTGCCTCCGTGTTTCGACTGCTTGTCAGCTTTTAATGCCTGTTTATGTTGTTTAATTGTAGGATGGTAACGAGGTGTTCTTTAGGATTAAAAGAAGCACCCAGCTGCGCAAGCTTATGACTGCATACTGTGATCGGCAGTCTGTTGAACTGAACTCCATCGCCTTCCTGTTTGATGGGCGCAGACTTAGGGCTGAGCAGACTCCAGATGAGGTAAATTTTTTATCTAGTTGCTGATTTTTAGCACACTATTCTGACGGTTTGAAGAAATCAGAGGTTGTTTAAACCTTTCACAGGCTTTTGAGAGCTTTGTCTAGTGTTCTTTGGTTCAAATAACTTCAATCGGTTGTTTTGGCCGTTCAAATTGGATTTTTTTTGTCTCACTTGTTTCTTTTGGTTTTGGTGTGGTGTTTGATTTTGCTATCTACGAATCGGGCATTAGCTTGAGATGGAGGACGGTGATGAGATTGATGCAATGCTGCACCAAACTGGAGGAAGTCCATGAACGCCTTCAACTGCAGATGCAATTCTGCTATAGAATGAAAAGCCATGGAAAATGGAGATATAGACTGCTGAGTTTCTTATCTCGCTTTATATATCACAAAGTTTCTGTAAATAAGAATGGATCTGATGCAAACTCTAAATTAGACCTGAGGTTTTTGATTGTCGATGATGTTTTAAGTGGAGTTCTATAGCATGGTTGTGGAAGCCTTTGTTTTGTCATGATTCTATGGTATCAGTTTGACTCTTTGTTGAGATTGGTTCTACAAATATGCTGTTGGTAACCACATTGTTGGCCTTCTGGGAAAAGGATCTCAAAATTTGAGTTGTGAGCGCCATGCTGTTCCTCTACCTATTTTAGATAATCTGATTGTTCAAAGTTAAAAGAACTTGAAATTATATTCAGACGACGATAACTCAAGTGATTGTGGCTGGTATAGAAAATTTTTTATGCCAAATTAGTGAAAGTACGAAGCCCCAAGAGTTGGATAATGGTTCGTTTTGTTTCAACTATGAATCTATGATCCGGGCTCTTGTCAGCCAAAAGAAAAAAAATCTCAGAATGCCTTCGCAAAGCAACTCTTTCCTCAATTACAGTCCTAAAAAATGCATATCTTTGCGTCTAGAATTAGTTTTGAAAAATTCATGACTTCACTGGTCTTATACACTCCCGAGTGAACACTAACTTATAATAGTTGCTTGCTGCCTTGAGATAGCATTATGGGTGCGAGAAATAAACCAGTTTCGCTGTCGTAGTCTCAATGATGCAGCAGAGTCAGGGAAATCAAGTCAAAGACTCAAATCCATGACAGAGAAAAACCTCAAAATTAGACGGAAAAACAAACTATGATATCAATATCTCAATATTCAAGTCTCTGGGTATTTATAGCTCAGTCACAAAATTATAGTAAAATAATCACTAAGGTCATAAGACGCACTTAACAAATAACAAATAACAAAAGTACAGTTAAATTGTGAAGTACAAGCGACAATGCAAGTACAAAAACAACTATTATAACTAAATTCTCCTGCATCACTCATTGTTTAGAATCCTCCACATTTAGTTGTAACCGGCAATCTCCGCACCAGATAAAGGAAAAGGTTCTAATTCAAGCTGGCAACTGAAGTTTTTTGTTGTTCTTCCAGCTGCATACACATAGTACAGGTAAATCAGAGAAATCTTAAGTTTATGCAAATCAAAAATACAAATCTACCGTTCGTTAGCCGCAGGACTATTTACCTGAGGAAATAATAGTAGAAGAAATCGCCATATAGCAATGTTTGAAGAAGCCCTGAAATCCAAGCTGCAATAGCCAAAGATCAAAGGACATCAAAAAGGAGTCCGACAACAGAAGACATTTTAGACAGTATTTGAAGGATGTCTAAAATACACTAAAGTAACCGTGAACAACTAGCAACTGCTTTAATACGATCCAGAGACAAGTCAACCAAAATATCATGCAAGAAAGCAAATTTTATCATCCTTTAAAAACAATAACAATCCTATACAAATGGAGATCATAACCAAAGCTGTTAAGAGGCGTTATTATTTGGACACTATCTAAACGAATTTACACAGCAATGGAAGCAGACAATATATGCATAGTATACAGAAAAACTATATAACAGCAGGAGGAGAGAGAGTCATCATACGAAGCCAATGAACATAGTGTGGCTCAGTGAAGTAGCGGTAAATCCAGTTCAGAATGTATAACGCCCGGTATGCACTGCATATCAAGACATGCAGAGTGTAAAGTAACATTTAGGAAAAGGAAAGAAGCCAAAAATCTGATATGGCAATAGTAATCTACAATAAGAATAAGGAGTATTAGCATACCCGAGAAGAAATATATATTGGCCAGTCAAGTTGTCAATATTTCTCGTCCTCTGCAACAACACGAGCTGAGGAAGAATAGCAACAGCTTCCAAATACAAGGAAAATGTCCACATGACCTGACCCATATTATGAAACACATAAGAAATACAAAATAATAGGGAAACTTGAAGACCATCTCCAATGCAAATGCCAATGTCATATTTGGCACCAAAAAGTATGAAATAGATATTTAATATCATTTTAAATCATTTCAAATACTATATCTACTTGTTATAACCAAGTATACTTTTAGTTTTAATATAATTTGAAAATGCCAAAATTGTAAGGATTACATGAAACGGTAAATGCATCAACTAATAGTAATCAATAACTAAATTTTGGCATATGGCATACTTGGTGTCAAATTCCAACACCAAGTATAGCATATCTCAAATTTGGTACCATGAATAGCACTGCATCGAAGTCCGAAGATTAATTTTCCTACTCAAATGCTAAAATTTAGCATTGACCCACTACTTTGGCATTACATTGAAGATGCTCCTACAGCCAGGTAAATGAGATAAAACAAGAACAAACCTCCTTAAAGGTGAATTTCTCATTGATAAATATGGCCAAGATTAGGCATGGCAGTAAGAGGAAATAATGGCGGAACGTGTCTTGATCTTTATCATAAGATCTACGAACAACCTTGTGGCTCCTCATGTACCAAACAATCGAGAATGAGCTCCACAAGAATATCAATTTCATGACGGTGTTGTACAGAGAAATAAAATCCGTGAAGATGTCCAAGTACCGAGTCGCGAAAACCATGGCATAGAGTTCCTGGGTTTTCAAAGAAACACCTGCGTGAAATTCCCAAGCCCATCAATCAACCACAATTTAAAACTACAAAAATACGCATTTCTGAACGATAATTCGTAAAATAACATCCGAGACACAAGAGTACGAGCTAAATCTGATGCTGGAACCCTGTTGAATCGCTCAATAGAAATGAAATTCGAAATGGGTTTACTAAATTCCGAATTTCTTTTCCAATTGGGAAGTCAAAACCACCACCATAAACCGTTCCATTTATCCACTAAGCAAAAATATTACACAAAAAAAGGAGTAAAAAAAACTCCCAAGAAATTACCAGCACAAGATTTGATAGTGTGGATCTTGAGAAGCAAGACGAGGACGCTGGCGAGGTGGGTCATATCACCGGCTAATCTGAATATATTCATCTTCCCCAATTGGATTGAATTGGAACAAAATCTTCTTTCCTATTCCGATCTAACTTTTCTCTCCGGATCTGTTTAGACGCTTTCTTCGAAATCTCTCTTCCTCTTCTTGTTTTTGTTTTTCAATTGGATTCGGCAATTAACGGCGGCGAAAACGGAATCGCTTTGTTGGTGGCGGTGCTCTTAATAGCTTGCTTCCGGTAAATTCTTATTGCTGGTGGTCTATTGTTTTTTTTTTTTTGTTTTTTTTTTTGGTAAGAGAACCAAAATAACGCCAAAAACCCTTCCGAAA